ACAATCCTCACAATGTTCAGTGTCTTCTTCATAGATCAGCTGCCTTCCTGTACTATCTCCTCTTCTGTTTATGTACTCTCAAGAAATGTGTGGACATAATAGGCAAATCAGATTCATGAGATATCTTTGCCTACTTTGCTTTCCACATGATGTTCAAAGGTGTTTGATTAACCTTCTATTTACTCCTCTTTCCTTCAGATGACCTTTCCACTTAGTCCGTGCAATGGTGCGATACACTGACACCATGTGACAAAGGAACTCTTGTGAGCTCTCTATGAATTATTTCATTCAATGAGCTCATACACTTGTACCTTCCTTTATGTGCTACAATGCACCTGCTATTGGAAGTGGGAAAACCCAGCACGGAAGTAGGCACCTTCAAAACTGCACACGCTGAAGCAAAATAATGGGTAATGAATGTGAAGGTTTCCTTCCAATTATTTTTCTGTTGGACATCTACATTGTAATACAGATCATTGATCCAAGGAATAGCCATTCGATGAATTAATACCAGCATGCTTTTTCCGTCTTAGTACATGGAAGAGAATTAGATCAGATGTTGCATTTGATCATAGAATTTAATGAACGTAATGCAGCCATATCACATGATATATGTGCAGATTACTAATTTCCCTTCTCTGGATTATAGGGCAACTAATCCTTAGTGAGCACACAGTTCTGACCATGAGCACAGACATGCTTTCAAACAGCGATATTTCTAAGCAATATGGAACATTTATGAAAGAATGCACTTATCAAAGGAAAACTAGGTGGTTAAGTAAGGAGGAGGAATGGCTTTACTTTCTGAGTAGTAAATAAGACTTTTAAGTGTTTTGTGACTGTATTTTAAGAATAAACAGGATACTTGGTTGCTAATGACATGAGAAAGGGATGATACAAATGAAGACAGGACCAAATCATCAGGAACACCAAAGTCAGTCAAAGAAAAGAACCTGTGAATTTCCTTAAGTGACTTGCTGGAGAGTATTGTGTGGTAATCACGTGACTACAGCTGATGCTTCTCTCATGAATTATTATCGTTACAAAGAAAGGTGACTATGGAGAGCGTAACAGCCTCAAAAATAAATACCTTCCAATTAAGTAGTCTAATAAGCTATTTAGGATTTTACCACTTAACATTCTTTCCTTCCCATTTAATTTCAGCTTTCGCTTGGATGTCATCTCTTTGAAATCTATCAGAACTATGTATATGAGTGATAATGTTCCTAAGTGCCCTAATACTCAAAGCCCTGCAAAAGCACAATATTTTTTTCTCAAGCACCCTAGGATTTTCACTAATAATTCAGCTTCTTCCTACTGTAAGTTAATATATGAAAATATATGAAAATGGTCAATATGCAAATTTAAATATCACGCTAGCTAGTTGCCTTCAGTAAGTGCTATGTGCATAAATTTGAAACAATACAATATTTTAAGATTCCTGATTATAATAATGCCTTGGTGTGCATATGTGCATGTATAATTATGTTCATTTAATTTAATCATCATGAAAATATTACAGGATCATTTGATTTTTCTCCTCTAGAAGTTCTCTCACTTTTTTTTCAACTAATTAATTCCATTTTGCCTCATCTGTGAGTCTTCCCATAAAATGCAAGGAGTGTTGAGCTAACAGGGACACTGTGGACATCAAGAAGGCACTGGAAAGGTGGCATCCTCTTGCCCTTAGTCAGGGTGCCCTGCTAGGCTCTTTAGTAGAACCTAGTCTTGGAAAAAAATCTAATTTTATTTTTATTTCTTCCTGCAAGTTCTTGGTGTCCTTGAATGCTGAGAATTTGCCCTGGGGTAATCACCTGATTACACAGGGGAGACCTGGAAACCAGGCCCTGTGACCCACACATTCCACATGCTTCACTGGAGAGCAGCTTAGGGGACATTGTGAAGTTAGAGTCACATGGAAAACCTGAGAACAAGAGGGGGAATGACATTTCACTTTATGCAGTAGAAACACTGACAGTGTCTCCGTAAGTAGAATGAAACAACCATGGAAGAGATGAAGGCTAACTAGAAGGAGACTGAATATTAGCCTTCTCCCACCAAGTAATCCATGTCCCTCTTTACAGAAAAGTTGTTCTGTCCCTCAACATATTGCCAGAAACCAGTGGAGAAAAAAATAGGTTGCTCTGTACCCATCAATGAAATTTATACAATATCTTTTCCTCAGGGATTAATTCAGCTTTTGATTAAATCTTTCTGAGATTTAAATCACGGTGTTACAAACCTCCAAGGAACTTCTCTCTAAATTGTGACCTTCTTTGTTATTCTCTGTTGTTTGATAAAGTACAAAGATTGGTTTGTAATCATGTATGGTATACTGAAAGGGGGGGTCAAGGAGAAATTGTACAACATGAGATTAATATAAATATTGTGAAAAGTAGTCTTTGTTAAAAAATATTCCGTAATTAATGCTGAGTTCAAACTGTGTATCCCATAATACTTGTGTCAAACCAGTTTAATAATGTTATTAAAGATACGAATGGCATCCTGTGATTTGCTAAATAACTCCACAAATAAGAGAAAACTGGCAATGTTGGGAAAGAATTTCAATTCAATATCACATTGTACATAGTTTGGACAGTTTTAATTTGGAAGGATTTTTAAGTGAGACAAGCTTTTCAAAATAAAGTATTCCTATCAAGTACTCAGTTACTTTTGGTTTTGATAATGATTTTGCCAAGAGCATTATCAAAGATGGAAGTGATTTAACACTAAGTAGTATGAAACAAGTCTTACATCTCTCTCCAAGATGTTCCAATACCAAGCCAACAGCTATGACTGCTTAAAATCCTCATTATTTGTCTACCTACCCCCAAAAGATTATTAGAGTAGTTAACCCCTTCAGAAACACTTGTACTGTTTTAATATTCTGGCTGCCTCTAGCCAGACAATAATAATAATAAAAAAAGAAGATGCATGATACAACAAAATCGAGAATGGAAGGTGAGTCAGATGTGGTATATTCCCTTGAGCTCAGAAAAACTTAAGATCTACAGTTGTAGGTGAATGCAGTATTTGCATGCCTTAACATTAAGATTTTTTTTTATCTTACATGTTGAAAAACTAAACCGATGAGCTTTACTATTATTATGAAATGGAAGTGGTACCATAGAGAGTGCTTCCTATGTCATTTGGCAGGTTTTAATGCATTTTATTGATACTTCCATTACATTTCAATATTTACAAACATTCTTTTCTCTAGATCTGGTCGGGGGAGAGGGAGAGGGTAGTTGTGAGTCTCCCAATGCTGTGTTTATATTGGTTCTGAAAGCAATTGTGTGGATACAGAAGAACATATGAAGTCAGGTGAGTCTGCAGTAGTTATTAAGACCACCACCAGCTACCAGGCACAACATAAGACAGCCTTGACAGCAAGGCATGTCTGCAGCTACCCAGCCCGTTCCATAAACAATCTGTAACACGCAGAGGACAAGGCCTTTCTCCTGATGCAAGTATCAGGAACAGTATCTGACCCATCTATAATAGAATCATTTTCCACTCTGAATATCTACCTGAAGGGAAAGTGCTTATCCTTAAGGGTACATATTTCCAGGGCTCTGTGTGCAAATAGAGTTAAGCCACTGGATAAAGTCCCATCACACTTTCACCTTCCAACCTCCATTATAGACATCACCACACCTGCCTTTTACATTTTTAAAAAGACTAGGAAAAACCTGGGAAGTGCACATGTCCTCCGAGCTAGGGCACATCCATTAATACAGAAAAGCCAGAACAGGAGAGAGCCTGAGAGGAAGTCGAATAATAAACAGTGATGTGTACTGATCTGAGAAACATGCCAGCAATTTGGTTCCGATAAAAAAGAAAAGCAGAAGTAGATTTGAAACATTCGTTTCCCTTTATTAGCTCAGTGAGGCTGATGTGTACTGCACATTAAAAAAAAAATCACAGGAATTTTCATACAATGAATAAAACCACAACAATACATGTAGAATTGGCAGGTGGAAAAGAGCCAGCAAGGGCTCAAACTAATCGCTCACTTTCCCTCTTCAGCATAGTTCAACCAACAGTATTACACTTTCACCTACAAATCTTAAAGTAGCTCCATCAAATCAGCAGTTTTCACATTATTGAAAATGTCTGTCACATAGGTACAAATTTAGAATCATCACATTATAGTACATGGCTATTCTAGGTCATCTATAGATCAGATCTTAGACTACAGTGATTGAAGTTCTCGGTACAGCCATCAAAAAAGGACACATAATCATTACCTACTGTTACCTCACATCTAAAGGCATGAAAAGGTTTCCTTTTTCAACTGACCCAAACACTTTACCCCAATAGTGCCAAGTTCCCTCTCTGCTGTTTTGAGTGTTGAACAGCCCAACCGTTGTTCTCAGAGTCCTTTACAAAAACTGATTTTGTTGCACTAAAAGAATTATTCTGCTACATTTCTTTTTTTTTTTTTAATAAAAACCCCGCATTTCTAAAGCACCAGTTCGGGTTCCAAAATTGTAGATGTAGTACTTACCACAGCATGAAGGCAATGGTCCATGGTCATCTGAAAGTCTTATAGATCTATGCTGAAATGTGCCTCCCATGATGGTGGGATGCATACGATTGTTGGAAACATTCTCTCCCAAAACAAGTTAAAAAAAAAAAAAGAAGAAAGAAAGAAAGAAAGAAACACAGCTTACAGCTTCTATTTTGATGGGCTACCCACAGTGTCTGCATAAGATACAAAAGCTTCACTAATTTTAGATGCAATTTGAAGTCCATGGAGGAAAACTATCTTCATGGTAACAAGATTTGTCAGGCCAGAGGGTGAGGGAGATCAATGAATCCTCAACATGAAATCTGTAGTGTTGTCTTTTGATACGTAAGAAAAGAAACCACGTATTTCAGTCGTGTCCATAATCCAGGGCAAACGAGAGAACGTATTTAAAGTTGGATCACAAAAATTTAAAGGCAAAAGAGAGAACGCATCTGGTCCTTAAACACATAACAGGATTTACTAAATATTGATTTCTTAAAAATAATTTATTGCTCTTAATAGTCTTTTTATTATTATTCTACAACAGAATATACTCAAAATTCAGAAAGAAAGACTGTAAACTTTAGTTTGGCGTTCACAAAGAGTTAAAATACCTGCATTTAACCTACAGAACAAGAATTAGGCGGATTAAGATGTGTTACTGTTGTAACGCAGAACCTGTGAACACATTTCTTTTATTTCATAGTTATTTATTGCTTTCTATCTACTTAGAAATAATAAGCCAAACACTTGAGCAAGCATCCGACAGGACAGACAGTGGATTCACTCAAAACACAATATGCTGGTGATAAATGAAGGCAGCTCTCAGAATTAGCTGCATTGGCCTGGGGGTGAAACCCATTTTGTAAGATCGTGTTTGGTGAGAGAAAGGAAAAGAACAATTAAGTAGTAGGCCTATCACATCTTCCAGAAAAGTCATGTCAGCCAAACAGTAAACGCACCTCAATTTGAAAATCAAATACTCCAAACTTTAGTGACTTCCGTGGTAGAGACTCCACACTCAGATGAAATCCTGATGCTCAAAATGGAGGGTTTTTTTTCTGACATTTATTATTATTATTATTATTATTAAATTTAGCAGAAGCAATGTCACCAAGAACAACATCATGGTCGTATCAGAGGCCATGCTAGTGAGAGAAGGAACACTGCTTCTGAGCGAGCTGAGTTTCCCAAATGAAGAACTTAGACTCCAACCTGACAGTCGCCATGCACCCTGGGTAGAAAGTCTCCACTGGCCTTATTATTTTTATCATCTCATAATTTATAATAAATAGGCTATCTGCAACTGATAAATATGTCTCTTTAGTAAACAAAGGAATGAAATATCAGTATTTATACAGGATGTATAACTGTAAAAAATACAGATTAAATACCATCATCATACTCTGCCAAGGGAAAGAGATACTGGCTTCAAAGATAGTCTCCAGACACACATTAATTATTGTAAAAATCATACTGTAATTATTACCTCAGCATTTTGTATCAAATTAAAATCACAAAAATTAAAACAAAACAGCATTTTAAAAAGATTTTTTTGACCTCTAGTTTCAAAACTACTGTTGATAGAGAAAATAAAAACATTTCTTAATGGTTCCCCATTGAGAGACTTTACAGAAAATCATGATATTGTCTAGAAAAATTTTAGATGAGAAAATTTCATTCCCCTAACAAATCCAGTGTATAAAACTTCAAAGAAAAACAAGCAACAAGAAAATGTGGAAAAATATCGCAGAAGTGGTTAATACCTTTAGGGGCCTAGGATTTTTGTTGTTGTTGACAAGATGCTTAGATCGAAGCTCACCTAAGAAGGGATGGATGTGCGTGAAGCGTCATTTTGTTGTAGTTGCACTCAACGGACACACACACACACACTGTCTTTTGTTTTGTTTTGTTTTGTTTTTTTTTACAATCAAATATATATAAGCAGTAAGTTTAGCTTCTAAATATGTTAGTGTACAATAATTGTTTCACCTCATAATTACATTTGAATAGTCTTGATTAAGAAAAATTTAGCAGTTTTGAAAAGAAGGCTGCATTTACAGTGCATAGCTGTAACAAAAAAGAACATAGTTGTAGAGTATGTACATAAAATAAAAATACTCCATTTAACATCTGTAAATACTTAACTACATCAGAGAATGTAGCAATTACACTATCGGAACACATCCAGAGAGTTCTACTCAACTCTCAGTAGTCATGTAACACCACATCTGCTCCTCAGAAGGAACCGCCGAACACACTCCTCGCTTGACCAATGACAAGGCTTTTCAAAATTTGCAGTGGAAGATCAACATTTTGGACATATACATAGGTGTCAGGACAAAGGACGAACTACAGGAACTTCAAAATGTTAGGAAAGTTGAGCATCTGGTGCCTGCAGTATCCTCTCCCACCCAAATCCCATGGCAGACAGAGCGACAGAGAGAGGGAAAGAGGAAAAGACAGACAGAGAGAAAGAGAGGGGGAGGGAGAAGAAAGACAGAGAGGGGAAGGGATAGAGGGAGGATATTAGTTCTGTGGAACCTGTAGTGTCTTCGGGATTGTCACAACATAGGGAGAGCTTGCTGCAGGTTGGTTTTGCACTTTCGGAAAAGACAGTACCGGAGGCTGATGGCAGACATCAGCAGTTTCATTTTAGGGTGGTTTGTGAGTTTTCTTTCCTTTTAATTTATATGTATATATATATATATATATATATATATATATATACATATATATATATATATATTTCCTTTTGTATAGAATATGAACATTTTGAAGTTCTAGGTTTTAAGTGTGTCTTCATGGAAATGCTGCCATTTGAAGGGGTTTGCCCTTGTTCATTCTGGTCAGGTGCCCCCAAGTCCTCACATGTGCACACATGTACTTTCCAAACAAGTACACACACACACACACACACACACACACACACACTGTCACCGAGAGCCTCCAGGGAAAGCAAAGCTGACACCCGTGAATAAGCGTGTGCTTACTGGATTATCATTCCATCTCCTGCCTCTTCAGCAGCTGTGTTCATGTAAACTGTTGTTGTTGTTGTTGTTCTTGTTCTGATACGGTTGCTGTTGTTTTGCTTTGTTTTTGTACAGCGTGTAAAGTAGGAGAAATTCCTAAGTATGACTTGCAAGAGTCTTGGGAAAGGACGCTTTGTCCTGTGAGGTATTGACCGTCTCTCTGTCATCCTCAGCCAGGGAACATGTTACCTGCGCAAGCTTCTCTGAGCTTCCTTCAGTAAACTATCAAAATCCAGAGAGTCATACTTGCTCTTGGTGGAAGCAGGATCAAAGTCATCTGAGTTTGAATCTGAAAGAAACCCAGATGGTTAGATGCAGCCTTTGCTGGTGACTGTTAATGCAATTCAAGATCCCTGGTTCAATTGCAATGCAGCTGATCAATGTTCTTTAAAACAATGCTGAATTTTGTTGTACGTATACATGTAAGCACAGAAAATATTAGTTACCTTTCAAAAACAAAAACCTATGGATTCATCATATACCTAAAACTCGGAGTACATAGGAACGGTAGATGTCAATATTTCTTTAATATTTAATATCTTTATAGGTGACTACCTTTCTCTTATTGGCATTTTAAGTGATTTGCCAATTGTTCTCCAATAAGTTAGAGGCAAAGATACAGTAGAGGCTGGAAATAATTTTCCCATTCAATGGATTTAACTTTATTGAGCATAAAATTCAGTTGAATAGGAGGGACAAAGATCATTCTAGAATGTTTTAAACTTTTCAACTAATTCAAATCAAATTTTTGAAAAAATCTGATTGTTGCTTCACATAATTCTTTTTAAATAGTTGTGTTTAGTTATGTGTGTAAAGCAAAATTCTGTTAAATACTGCTAACTATTTTCCATCTATATCTACGTAAAAAGGTACATAGCTCATGCTGGTCTTACAAGTGAGAAAGAATTTCTTGAAAATATAGCAAAACCTTCTGTGAATAAATTACTTTCTTAGAAAGTGTTTGTTTGAAAAGAAGTAAAATGTGGTCCTTTCAGAAATGCATTAACAAATGTAACCATATAAACGTTTCATGTTTTTCCTAAGCTAAGTTACAGTACAGAAATCTAAGTTACGGGAATGCAAGAGTAGAGAATATGGAAACATAAATCTCCACATGAAGACACACTTGTCTGAGGTTGGGGCTGTAGCTCCGGGTTATTCTGTGGTACATAAGGTATTATGGGACCAAGAAGGTAAATTTGAACTTTTTTTTTTTTCATAGAGGGAATTTAGAGAATTCAGTGGCCTAATGTTGGACTATCCAAATGGTAACCCAGAATTTAATATTCTGTATTTCTATTGATAAATATGCAAAATGCTGTTAGACAATATTTCTCAAGAGTTTCCTTAGTGTGATTGAGTTCACATTGATACCTAATTAAACACACACAACATTATGCCTCTTAATAGGTGTCCAGAAGAGATTATTCTGTTGGGTGAGATAGGCCATGTGGAAGACAACAGCATGAAGTCCATCATACCTTCTCTTATTAAGGAGAAGATGTTGGAACACAGTAAGATCTGATGGAAAAAAATGGAAGTAAACTAAAAGCCACTCTTGTTGTTTTCAACAAGAAATTATTATAAATAATGATCTTACATTAATAGAAACAAAAACACCACATTTGTATTCTTCACACCTGAAAATCTATTGGCACCAGGTAGGTAGTCTAATTAACGTTGTTGAAAAATGGATTAATCTCAAGCACCCACATACTATAAAAACTATAGCCAAAAACAAATTTTCATACTGGAATCTGGGAATTGTTTACAAAAAATGGCAAGGAAACACATAAGTGCATATCTGATATTGTCATCATAATATACTGTTTGAGTAAATAAAGAAGTAATGGTGAAGGTTGTGTTTTATTTTTCATATGCCTGAACATGATTTCTTTGTCTAACTAATACTTAATCAAAGCTATTGTATTCTTAATATAAATTCACTCTGTTCTGATCCCATCTTCCTGCTTAATTTTTTTTTTTTTAAATTTGGACTCATTTACTTAGTTTTATACGCTTGAGTGTTTTGTTTACAGGTATGGAGGTTCACTGTATGTATACCTCCTCCTGTGAAAGCCGGAAGAGGCTGTTAGATCCCTTTAAGCTGGAGTTATGGATGGTTGTGAGCCATCATGTGGGTGCAGAAAATCAAAACTTAGGCCCTCTGAAAGGGCAATAAGTGTTAGTTACTGCTGATCCTTATTCCTGGCCCTGTTTAATATTTTTAAAACAAGGTAGTTTGTTGGTAAGAGTCATTTGATTATGACAGTAAACAGAACCAACAGATAAAAAGTCCTATAGGGTAGACTTCCAATCCTACTTGCACCACTACAGCCCTAACTAAGTCACATTAAATTTGCACTCTCATTTATAAAATTGGCTAATAAATAGTAGGTATTGTAGTCTTCATTAACCAGTTTCTACGGTACAAAAATAGGATATGTGTGGCAGGGTGACTTCATTTGGCAGAGCAAATAAAATAGGGAGAAAATGGTAGAACTTGTCTAAAATGATAGCATATTTTCTTACATCAGCAAAAAATGTTAGGTATTATGTTGGTTTTGTTTAATTTTAACGTATCTAGGAGCTTTCAGTTCCTTTTTATATGCAGTACATTACTGTGTTACTTTTATTTAGGGATCAGGCATGGCTTGAAACATTTAGTCCAAATTCTGTGTGGAAACAAAGATAAGGCATTTGAAATTTTCATTGAGCTCCAAGGTTAGATCCAAACATTAATTTTTTCACTTAAAAGCAATCCAAAATCTCTACCTTCTTATTGCTCACATTTTCAATTATAACCTATTTATTTTATTCACGGCATTGTGATGTCAGCTCCTCCACAGACGTTTAATATGCCTCCACAAAAATATGAGCTATTTTATATAGAAATAATCAAAAGCTAACGGAGCTGAAACACTTTTCCAACATCAGCATGGATCCAGGTCTCAAACACAGGGTGATATCATTCTGATGCTGGTGCTCTTTTGTCTACCTCATGAACATGTTCAGAACAACCACTCCTTGATGGCCATGTTAGGCTTTAGGGAGCTTGAATATCCCATGGTACTGTAATGTACATCAAACATGTTTTTCCCTTTCAGTGGACTAGGGAAAGGGGATGAGGGGGAGATGGAGAGTGGGTGGGACTGGGGGGAGTTGTGGGAGGGGGCTTCAATTGGGATATAGAATGAGTAAATTGTGAAAAAAAATAAAAATTTAAAAAAGGACATGTTTTTCCAAAAAAAAAAAAAAATAGTGAGTGAGCCTAGCAATGGTGATGCTTCCATGACTGCTGGCCAGGCAGGGAGATATGAGTTGAAAAGGAGCATTCTTCTTGGAAATATTTCAGGGAGGTGCCAGTTCAATTTGGAAATACCATCCAATCCTCCCTCTGCCATGATGAATCGTGATCTAAAGACCCCTCTAGGTAGCTTGTTTTAAAATCTAGATGTTGTAAGCGAGTAGAAACAATCTAGCCTTCATCACTAAAGAAAATAAGTCAAATAAACTCAAGGCTTCAATCTGTCTTGACTGTTTTTATCAGCCAACACTTGAACAAATGAGTTGCCGGGTTTTATATTTTCATCCCTAGGCCTCTATCTCTCTGGCAGTCAGCTGCCGCTCCCCCTGCTCCCCTCTATCTATTTAGCTTGTGAAGTGAATTATAGCATATCCCCCTGAACAATGCAGAGCACCTATATCAGTTACTCAGGGAAGACACAACTGTGCTGGAAGGGAAAAAGAAATCTCAGTATTTGGTATTCATTTTTGTCTTTATTCTGCATCAGAGCAATTGTGAATGGATAGCTAATAATGCTGAGGAATAGATGCATATGCTAATTTTATCCTTATTATGAGTTAATTTAAAATAATCATGATATGCACATTTGCCACTTTTCTTCATTCTTGCCTCAAAGAATTAAAAGGCGTACGACACACACATTAGATAAGGAATGGCATGCAGTGGAATAAAATTAAAATTAGAAAGGAAATTAAGATGTCCATTGTAGCATTATTTATAATATCAAAAAATAAAAATTGAATACAAATAGAGTTACAATTACCTAATATAATGATACTACCTGCTCAGCAAAATAGTATGCGACCATTAAAATATGTGCATGAGTTATTTTTAGTCCTGTGAATCACATTAGGGAACTATTAAATGTATTATTGCCTAAAAAGGTACAACTTTTAACTATATGTACAGGTATAAGCACACATGTGCACAAATGTAACATGATCTCAACTACAGAAAAGGGGTTACTCTGAGACAAAATTCTGAAATCAGTTGATAATCATGTCACCTATGTCATTGTATCTGAATTTTACTTTTCATCTAAATAGTATCCTTTGAACAGGAAAATGTAAATAGTTATATGGATTTTATTTCAATCATATGTACAGTGGGCACAATAACGACATATGCCTCCTATTGTAACTTTGCTTTCAAATGACAAATGTTTTCAGAGATTCCTATGAAATGTGTAGGGTCTGGAAACAGTCCACAAACTTGTTCTTTGTTATACTTTATTCTCAAGAAGATAAGGAGGTGGTCATTTAGCTAATGAACTTCAGCTTTCTCTTCTCCAGTATAAATAATAGATAATAAGAGTATTTCCAACAGCTTGTGACATAATAAAGAAGGAAGAACAAGTCTTTGGCATACCTTGTACCACAAAACAATGACAGTGCTCAAATTTATGGAAAAACATTGAGAAGTAGGCATGGAAAGCAAGCACGGGCTACAAACACAGACATGTGCAAAATTTAAATAAATGTAGATACAGGCACATAAAACACATTCATACACAAGACAATAACAGACAGACAGACAGACAGGCACACACACACACACCACAAATGGTGAAGGGTTAGCATCTACTCCAGAGTACAAGAACATCTACCCTTTATAGCTCAGCCTTAAGCACCTTCCTTCTGAAATGGTCTCCTAAAACAACAAAAGGAAATGCAATCAAATATTCTCTTTAGGAAAGCCAAAGGCTGGCCTAGCCTAAGGGGTGTGTGGAGTAAACTCGCTTTCATTTTTAGATCTGTGCTATGGACCCATCCTTCTATGTACAATAGTTATATACCATACCTAGGTCTGCATAGTTAGACTTGAAAAATTGCTTCCGTCCACAAAAGTACAGCTCAAAGTCAGTTTCATTCGACCTGCGTAAAGTATATCCGTTCTCAAGAGCAGCGAAAGCATCACAGGTGTAACGGTAGGTGATGAAACCATAGCTGTCTCTGCAGTGGGCAGGGAAGAGACACCGAGAGCTGGTCAGGCAGCGTCAGCACAGCGGACTGCCACCCCTTCTGCTTTGGGAGACATCAGTTGTGCCAGCATCTCCGCCACCACATCCATTTATCAGTGGGATTGTCCTGTCAGGCAGCTAAATACTTATTCTGAGACAGGAAATCTCAACTAGAAAGATTAATAAATAGGGATGAAAGAAAATAAATAAGGTTCTGAACTCAACTTGTCATCTGTCAAAGCACTTACATTGGCAACTCCCATCCCAGCAATCTTAGGGTCATAATTTTTTACATACGTCAACTTCTAAACAAGAAATAATTTTGAAGATTCTCACCCATCATCCCGCAGATTTACTGTGCATTCCTCAATTTCACCAAAAACTTCAAAGCGGTCTCTCAGTTCTGTCCGCGTTGTGTCGGGTCTGATTTTACCAACGTAAATCACACGGCGTTCTTCCTATAAGCAAAAGCAAGAAGAGGCTTTTTCTAGCTCTGGAGGCAAAATGAAGATGTGCCACTAGAAGCAGCCATGAGCACCTAATTGTGTACAGGAATTCACAGAACAATCTCATTAGAGCAAAACAGACACCACATCTAAGGAAAAGCCACATGGGAACCAAGTTAGACTTTCCATGCCTTAGTTTAGGCTCTTGGTTCACACTTAAGCTTTCTTCTCCACAGATCTCTTTTCTGCTTCTTCTGTCCCACTCTTGTCTTTCTTCACATGTATCTTTATGTATCAAAAAAGGCATTCATGCAATGAGAGTTTTGAATCACTGAGCAGACAGCCAGTATATATGAAATATGAGAGCACTTGTGACTTTGTTAGTAATCTTCAAAATTGGTACAATAAGTAATTTGGCTTATGAAACTAATTTTTCATCAATTCAGAATTCTAATCAGAAAACATATGAGTTCTGATATCCTCAAAGGGTGGATTTCTACTACACAATCTACTACTAATCTCTACTACACAAAAGACTTCTTCACGGCACATGTTCAAAATGCAATTGTTGGCATTTATCCGGAAGCTAAAGCACTAAAACAACCCAGAGAAAAGTTTCAACAGTCTTCACTTACAGCACAGACACACAGTGATACTAATGCATGTGCTCTAGGGACAATCATTTGAGAGTCAGTCTGAAAATGTAAGCCATTTTTAGCCATGGGTCTCTGAAGATTAAGGGCCGAATGAAAAAGGATATAAATTGTACTTTGCCAATAGAGTCAGTCCTATTTCAGGAACAGACTAGAGAGGTGTGGCCTCATTTCTACAAATGAAGTCAATATGATCATAATGTAGAAGTCATTAGAAATTTATAACCTACAAAACCCAGGAAGACTATACTGTTGCCTGAAGACAAGATTACTTTTATACAAATGTGGGGTTCATTCTTAGGGAAAAAAAAAAAAAAAAACATCTTGGATATTTTTTTCAGAGGCAGGGCCAAACGGAATAAAGTCTCATAATTGAAGAACATTTAGAGAAAATAGAAAGACTACTCTTACCAATTAGTTTACATGTCTACCAGGGACAAGCAAAACAAAATAAACTCAAGGTTGCGGAGATTTTAATTAAGATCAAAGCAGCATCTGGGAAACATGGATCTAGAATAAAGGTTCTGCTGCCTAAGAGGTTTGTTTGTTTGTTTGTTTTTGGTTATACTGAGTATCCCATTTGCCTAAGCTGCAAAAGTCACTTAAGGCTTAAGGCAGTAAGAAATCTGCCCACATTTGTTGATAGCCTTTACTTATTCATGGGTATTAGCACATGATCTGCCACAGAGTGGGAACTTAGCAGCACTTGTGAGGTGAAGCTCAACGTCTTCTACCTGTTCTGCAGCTTCTTTTAGGGTCTGCTCATCTATGACTCCTCTCATTTAGCATAAGCAGAACTACTGTGTATTTTCATCAGGAAAGTACATTCCTCTGAGCTTCAGAGAAGCAACTACATACTAGGGTTCCTCCAGGCCTCTTAGACTGGACCAACATTGTGAAACAAAACTCTCTAGCTACACACCAGAGGCCAAGGGGGAGGCACTGGGCCCTAGGAAACTAGACTTACAAATAGCCATGAGCCACCTTATAGGTGCCAGGAATTGAACTTAGGTCCTGCAGAGCTTTTCCTCTTCATTCTCTCCGGTTTGGCTTCTTCATTCCCTCTCCCCAATGCCAAACTTTCAACTTGTGTTTATGAGCTAGTGTAATAACTTTTAATTTAAATCCTCATGTCAATGTTTTTTCCCTCTAATTTGTCCTTTTACCACAGATGGAATAATTGTCAATAAGTCAAAAGGAGTCAGTCATAACATTGCCATTTAAAGTAAATGCATAATGGCCGCTAGTACTTTTGATAATTCATTAACAAGCCCTATTAGGTGGGCCCTGCAAGATCAGGACTTATCTTCACGGACTTTTTTTCCTACAACTCATCTTTTCCTCGACTTGAGTTTTTATGCTGAACATCTACAGGGTCCCTAGTTACATCGCTTCCCTTCCATCTCAAGCCTTTGCACATGGTCTCCACTGTAACTTGGAATATATTTCCTAAATTATACTCCAAGCCCCTCACATATAATCTCTTGAATTAAATTAAGCTCCACAGGTGTTTCATTTGAGACTTCAGTTGAAATGCTATTAGCTGGTCTTATGAAATCTGTGTTTCCTCTGTAGTCCTCTGTTTAAGTACAATTAAATCCTTAACAGTTTATTCATTGCTCAGTGTCCCTCTCCCTAGTACAGTGAAGAATTCATGAAATTATTTTTTCTTTGCCCTACTTTATGTTAAGTACACAAAAGAATCTCAATACATAGTATAAGATTGATTAAAATCAATTAATAATTTATTTCATTATCATGTGTATAACTCCATTGCCTGAATATGCATTTGTGAACCACAAATGCATGTGTGCCTGATACTCATGGAGTTCAGAAAAGGGCATTGAATTCCTGGAATTGGAGTTATAAGTGTTGTGGGCTACCATCCGAGTGCTGCAGAGCAATCCTGTATCCCCTTCAAGAGCAAAAAGTACTCTTAGTGTCTAAGCATTCACTCCAGCCCCAGATTAATACATTTTAACACTAACCTGTGCTCAGTGGTCTTTACTCTCTGAGATATTCTAACACAAAGTTGGTGTTATATGAGTATGGTCCTCTAATAAGGGAAAGCTCTATCTAGGCAGCTTAGCTGAGTGACTTACCAAAAGCAAATTACAGACTGAAGGGTGAGAAGTTACAATAGATGCATGTTTCCAGGTTATTATATAAGCTGACTCATTTGAAAATGAACTCTGGAAATCAGAGAGGAGAGTCCACTCAAACGGTTGGTATGCACAATTCCTCTGACCACAGCAATCAAGCCTATTAGCTGGCCTGGTGAAGTAAAGCAAGCAGGCACCTGATTCACTTCCATGTAGATTGTATGTCACAGCTGAAGGCCGAAACTGTATTTCCAGAGTATCCAACACAGCTGGACATTCAGTAGATAGAAATGTCTGGTGAGGCTCAAGCCTAGGCAGTGCTTCACAAACAGTATCAAGGGAATCATAACACGACATTCCATTCTATTTATGCACCCAGTTTTAGCCCAACAGCCAAATGTGATGGGACTGTTATCTAAACTTAAACTTCCTGGCGCCTGCTTGCATGATGTTATGGATTTTTTTTTTTTTTAATGAGCCTTTTAGGAAAGTTACTACTGTGTAAAGAAAGGAGATGGAACTGCAGAAGAGAAAGAAAGAAATTGAGCCATAGCACAGAAATTGCTCAGCTACCATTATGGGAATACACATAGCCTATGTATTCAAGGAAATGTGAGGTTACAGCTAAAATCGACCATATGTGCACACATATTGGGGAACTTTCTGAATTGCGGCTTTATACAAAGCTGTATGCAACAATGATCTTCACAAAAAGACATAACCCAAAGGACCTTTTCTAGTACTGAGAGAGTCTTCAGTAAAGAAGACTCAGCTCGAAAGAGTTGTGTCTCCACCACTCAAATCACCTTTTAATCTACCAGCTCCTTGATGAAACACAAGAATGGGCCATGCCCTGCTATGCTATCGAAAAGCAGAAGATTGAAGACAAGCAGGAATGTTCTAAAAAACATTGAATTCCTTTGTTTTCTACACGCTAAACATGAAAATAGAAGAAAGACACGGTAAGGTCTAGATGGCAAAGACAAAAAAATCTGTCCATGATTGGCCAAGATTTCCAGAAAAGATTCGGCCTTTTAACATGGAGAAGTTGAATTAGAAGAAGGAATAGACTTCATGTCTTAAAAAAATAACATTTGCATCCAATTTTTCAAGACATTAATTTCTAAACAGGAGATGAAAGGAGAAGAAATCAAAATGCTTAATAGCATTTCCAAGTTCTTAAGAGCTGGAAGGAACTCAGAACCTTTGGAAAAAGCTGGTTGAAAAATTATTTTCAGACCAGGTTTCACTATTGAGGAGGATGGAACATTTATCAAATAACTTTTAGCTTCAATTTTCACAAAGGCTAGTTTGCTTATGGGGTAGATAATAAAACTGAAGATTTATGTTGCATTAACCACCACAGTAAATTCTCGTTACACTAAAACACAGGGGATAAATAAGGAAAAAGAGGATGACGGAATTAACTGACTTCCTATTACTAAAATCTTTATCAGGAAGAATATAGAGTTTGCTGGTTAGCTGGGAAAAACAAGCAATGGTGGTTTCTCATGAGATAATAAGTGACACTCAATAAGTGGAGTTTGACTGAGGAGAAATGGGAAGCAATCGGGAGCTGACATTTGCTGAGTGCTATATAGGCCAAGTCATGTATCAGATACTTTTGATTGGATTAGTTCAGTAAAATATTCCTAGACACCAGGGTGTTTAGTGTAATTTCAATTTTGGTTCCCAATTTCATTCTACATTTTTTAACTCAGGGCAGCATAAAAATTGTTAATTCATTTTTTCTCTGCAAAGAGAACTCCATTTTAACTATCAGAACAAAAGATTTTTGTTTTCAATTCCAAAGTAGTTCCAAAATAACTTCAACACAAATTCTCAAAGTACTTCTGGAGAAATAGCTCAGGGGCAGTCAGCATGGAAAGTTCCCATGTTTTACTCAGCACCCCCCCCCATCACACATATACACAGTAATAATGAATACTGTACATAACTGAATGATCTAGCCAACTAATTTTACTTAAAAAATGTAACAGAGTTCACAGCTAGCTAAATATACAGCTGGCCAAAAAGGAAGATCAACTAAAAAGTGACTTAAAAAAAAAACTGTTGCCCTTGTTCTTAATACTGAGTACACTTATGTAGTAGAGAAAATGTTTACTAAATGTTTTCTACTAAAGGGTATTTGGGGAACTGAAATAATACAATAGCATTCAGATTTCCAAAAGTACCTTTAGGCAAATATTATAGAGAATCTTCCAGGCTAGAATCTAAGTCTACCCTGAATCCATCCAAGAGCTAACTAACAATCAAGGAAAAGCTGAGATGCATCTGAATCTAGTTGCTACTAATAGTATCTTTAAAAGCCTCACTTGAATATAATCAGAATATAAATATAAAAGTTGCACAGACTCAGTGTAAATATTTTGACGAATTCAGGCATATGCTGGTACCTGCCCAAACTTAACTATAATTTCACTCATTTCCTTATGTTATTGTGGCCTCTCCCCATACCCTAGTGCTGAGTGAACATGTGTGTGCTTAATATGAGATCGATCGTTTAAACCCATGAAAGTGCACACAACAGGGATGACGCTATAAACAATCCCCTAGCTTTTCTTTTTCTTACAAAACTGAAAATTTCCAAATTCTGAACTTAAAAGTCATGGTATCACATACATTTCCCTCTAATAAAAATTCTTTGAAAAGGATAAATATTTAAAAAATCATGAAAAAAAGGCTTTGTGGGAAACTGGACTCTTTTGTCTATGAATAATAAGTTCCATTTCTACATTTGGAAAAAGACATTTATAATCAACAGTAATGATGTATTGTTTGTGGCCCCCTTGGTTGTATATAGACCAATATAGGAGAGCTATGTGAGAGTATAGCCATTTCTCAGCATCTGGGTTTGGTTTTAAGCACTGAGCCATACTATAATGCCTAGATTTGTTCTGTGAATTGACATCCAGTTATCTTTTTTTTTTTTTTTCTGGCAGAAACTGTACAGATTGCAAATGGTGTTGGAGTTGGATTTCAACAAAAATTTTAAACAGTGACAGTTCAGACACTAAGTACTAAACTCTGGTGTTTATAGCTCCAGTGTGATCTGAATTATTTTAAACTTAAGGAACAGAAAGGCAAAGAGCCAGCTGGTTTGTTTTTTGTTTGTTTGTTTGTTTTTGTTGTTGTTTTGTTTTTGAGAACAGGTTTGGATGGAAATCACATGAAAGCAGGCACTGATGTAATGGTAATATCCAATCATAATGGAGACTTCTGTATTTGTAGTTTCTAATTGTGAGTATTCTTTAAGTTTTATGAGAGTTTGCTCAAACAAGGCTCCAGTAAGACTTACAGAGCTTCAACTCATGACAAGCTTGCAGACCCCCTAGACCACTTTCCCTGAAAATGAAACAAAAATTCAATGCAGCCTACAAGACAAAACTGAACACTTATTCTGTAAAATATCAATGACCACATTTTAAGGCTTTTTTTTTTTTACTAGCTTGCTTTAAATTCCTTTCAGGAAGTATCTATGGAAGCCAAGACTGCTTTCAAGTCCATTCTACCCAAGCTTTGTAGTTAAATCACTGCAAGTTCCCAGCAGAATAAACCACTTCCCAGAGATGCTTCCTAGGCAGAGCCTCAACCTTGAGTAGTAACTGTCAATAAAGGCATAGTAAAATGTAAGTAATGTAAGATTTTCTAAGAGCCACATTAATATAGAAAAAACAGAAAATAATGCTAATAATACATACTATTTTTCTCCAAATATCTAAAATATCATATGCCTCATGATAGATACAAAAACACTTGGAACTTTCCCATGATTCTTGCTTTTGTTTTGTTTTGTGTGTGTGTGTGTGTGTGTGTGTGTGAGAGAGAGAGAGAGAGAGAGAGAGAGAGAGAGAGAGAGAGAGAGAGAGATGGTTTCTCTGTATAGCCCTGGATGTCCTGAAACTCACTCTGTAGACCAGGATGGCCTTGAACTCAGAGATTCTTCTGCCTCTGCCTCCTAAGTGCTGGGATTAAAGGTGTGCACCACCAGTCCCAGCTGAATTTCCCACTGTTCTTTGTACTAAAGTCTTCAAAATCCATTCACACCTTCCATCTTAATTCTGAGTAGCAAACCTAGCCATGTAATTAACTTGGGCTGCCATATTGGGCATACTAGTTGTTAAAAAACTTGGCCTTCCCTCCCTGCAAATTTTTCATTACTTTCACCTGCCCTATGTTTGCTCTTCCCCACCCACATGTCTAGATGAGCACTTTTAACCATACATCTTCGATAACCCTTTATAATACCCCTATTCTCATATTTCCAGCTTGTACATCTTTAGTTGCCAGCTGATTCCAAGTACTTCAGAGTCAGGCACCAGGTCTTGAATAAATTTATATCTCAAGCACCTGGCAATTACTTATCAAAGGATTCAAAGACTTATTGTGTGCTTAACAGAAATATCATAAGCATATAACTTTCCAAGTGGGAACTTATTAGACAGAAAGTCTCAAATATGTATGAAGTATTTACTACCCATAGATTACTGTGTTAGGAAACAGTTTCTGTTCCCTGGGTTTTTTTCCAGGGAACATGCATTTTAAAATCTAAGTAAATACCTATGACAAAAGTCTCACCAGTGTCTAAAGGCATCATGTTTTCTTTTCATATAGCCAAGTTGACATTTGGATTACTCCAAGTCCTCATTCAAAGGGTACTAATAAAGACTGTCTTGGACTAATAAAGACTGTCTTGGTCAAAGAATTAAATCAACATTTGAGACACAGATGGAAGAGAGGGTGAGGTTAAGAATGTTTCTGTCTCATCAGGACTAACATTAAATTACTAGATATTTTTAGAAACAGTTGAACCAGAAAAAAAAAATCTCCCTTTCTGCTTTTATTCTAATTAAGTACTTAGACCTAAATTATTTTGATAGGCATAAAATAAATGCATGTCATTTATCTACATATTTTTGATTAAAACATTTATCTGGCTTTGATTAGAACTGCACTGAATTTGGCTCAAATGAACAAATAATACACTAAATTTAAAAAAAAATCAGGAACCTTATAAGATATGAATTTACACTTAGTAGGAACACTGAATCAGCAGAAACCATGTCATTGTATGTTCTCTCGGTATGTTTCCCTTTTGTAATGAGCAACTGCAATGAGTGCTGTGAAAAGGCTTTGTAAACTCTATCAAACTCATAATGTGAGTAATGATAATGATTGAACAGGCCACTAGTTAAACAAAATGATGTTCAAAAAGTCGAAATTTTCGCTTTCATTAGTCTTCCTAAGTGTGAACTAAAGACACTGGCAAATCTTAACATCACAGTTCATTTGAAAGTAGAGGGAAAAATGAGGTAAAGTGTTGTAATTTTCAGAATGCCTTTGATTCTGTCCTTAGCAGATGCAGAGCTAAATGGCAGTGAATACCCAGAACTTCAATATAACCATGCAATATAACCACTTCTCTTTCAACCTAACAAACCTCTCATTTAATCTTTCCAACGTAGCTGGTGACTATCAGCTAAGACGACTTGACGCCATCAGTGATATGTTTTATACAGTGAGTTTTATTGTTTTATCCATGCTTGATGATATTACTGACTTTTCTTGGAGGTACCACAGGAACCCAGCTTTAATACCTTCAAGGCTTGGTTAGCTTATATGCAAGATATGTCAAATGCTGCCTTGCACTGAAGTGACTTGGAGCAGCTAGCACAGACAGGCAGCAGGTGCAATGAACCAAAACAGTGCCATAGCTCATCGATTATCCACGGCTCCCAGGAGCACTATGTTGGGAAAGACCCTAAGGCTCTGTGGGGCCTCAGAGGGACAGAGTTATGTGATTGATTAAGAATGTCTGCCATGGGCATGTACTGGATTTTGACCACCTGAGTGCCACTTTTTTTTTTTTTTTTTGCCATCCAAGGTCTATGATGCTTAGTAGCATGAGAAAACTTTGGATTCAGATTGCATGTGCGCAGCTAGCGAAGGACAGTATTGGATTCCAGAGAAAAAACAAGTTCAGCACATGACCATCTTTACACACGAGCATCAGAGTGTTAGGTGAATGAATTCACCTACCCCACAGTCAGATGTTGGCTCAGCAAACTTAAGGAATGTGCCTTTCTTAGCCAGACTTCCTCGAAAAGACTTTATGTGGAATATGGACTCTCCCCATGCTCCATTCAAAGAAAGAAGCAATAGGAAGCAGCTTGTAAATTACATGTTCTCCAACTCCTATCAAACCAAAGACACCTCTTTCTCTATTTTTCAGAACAAAACTTAAAGTAATAATAACTTAATAACTTAATAACCCAACTATAATGAGAAATATACTGACACCATTTCTTTTAAATAAAAAGGTCTTAAGACTCTGATACTTTAAAGCCAAAAAGTTGCTTTTTTTCCACGTTAACAAAGCATTAACTTTTGATTATTGTTCAATCTGAAAAAAAAAAAGTCACAGAGGAAAAGAAAAGAAAACAAATTAACTCCACACTGCTTACAATTGCTTTCTGCTTCTGCCTCTCCCTCTGCTTGGCCCTTTCAGATTCCCGCTTCTCATACTCTTTGCGGTATTCATCCCTCTTCAGCCTTTCGTGCTGATATGCTTCATAGCTGTCATACCTGGGAAACACAACTTCATCATTAAGTCGACCACCTCCATTTGCATGAAACAGAAAAAAAATACATCGGCATTTGGGGAGGGGGAGAAGAAGAGTTTGGGGGGATGTCTTGCCATCTAATGAAGGGGTTGTTGAACTGAGGGAAAAGGGCAGGCCTCATTACCTGGGCCTACAGCTGTAGGGTGACCTTGAACGCGATCTCACATACAAGGGAGAATTGCGGTGTGTGCGCTGTCTGTAGTGGCTTGATTCATAGTAGTAGCAGGATCTGGGTGAGAGCAGAAAACCAAAACAACATTTGCAACTGTCTCTTGGCACAAGTTTACTGGGACCACTGAACATCACTGGTTTGCCTTTTCTTTGTTAGCAAGATCTTCCAGTGAGAGTTTGACATCAGCTAATCAACCTAGACACCAAGAAGTGATAGATTCCTTCTCCATGTCTCTTATTAATGTTTCCGTGGCTCAAGGGAAGGGTACACTGGCATGCTTATCTTATATGGATCTCAACTCTTCCGGCACAGGGCTGCTTTTTAAGTAATGGAAAAAGCTACTCAAGCAAGTTTCTTACAAATGGTTCTCTCTGTTCTGATTGGCCAAGGCAGAGCACTCAGAGCTGGGCATGTGAAAGAACATGGAGAAAGGGGTAGAGTTAGCTGAGTTTGTTAGCTGAGAGGCTCCAGAAGACCTACCCTGAGGTTGGATATTTTCTACAGCTTCCTGGGAAATAGTCACCAGGTGGGTTTTGATAACCTTACCTTGAAGAGGATCTACTGCCTGGGGACCTTGATCTTGACCTGGAATATGGTGATCGGGAACACGACCTGTGCCGAGAAAAGGATCTTGAACGAGAGCGCATCCTTTGGGGTCTTTGAGAAAATAAGGATTTGGGTGGTGACACTGAATCTCGACACGGAGAGTTAAAAGAAGAGCAAGAAGGCGACACATCGAACAAGGAATAGGACTGCGTGCCATCCCAAGGGTAGCTCAGTTTATCACTTTCATCTTCACTGTCATCAAATAGGCCGTCCATGGCTAGTCCTGAATTTATAAACACAGGTAGTTTGGAGAATTGTTCATTACTGAAGTCGCCATCCCTTAGTTCACTGGTCTTGTCTGCTTCGTCATCAAAAACAGCTTGACGGGGATGACCGAAGTGCTTGTTCAGCTCAGCTCGGATTTCCTGGTCTTGGAGCTGTTTTCTGGTGCTGCAAGGAGAGACCTGCTTGCTGGCCTCCAAAGTCTCTCTCAGGTAGCACTGGCCTGAATCTGTGGAAGAACAGATGTGCCCCTGCCAGTCACAGGAGGCATCTTTGTAGTCTAGTTGTCTAGAGTCTTGGAGCTCCTGTGATATGTTAATGAGTATATCTGATTTGGAATTGATTGACTGACAGTAGTCATGGTCACCAAACAGCCGCAGGCTGGGCCGTTTAGTCTTCCGTTCCTCGTGTCCCCGGCTGAGCACTGAGGACTTGCTGAGCTGTGCATACAACTCAGATTGCTCCGGCCCTTTCTTGGTGGAGTGGCTGCTTTGGGTACCAGAACATTCACTGTACCGGGCCCTCTTTGTTGGTGGTGGCACCACGGTCTTGCAAGAGGGCTTCAGCTTTGGAGAAACCTTAAAAGGGTTATCTTGATTGGCTTTATGAGGAGGAGTCGTGGGTGGAGTTAGGCCTACAATTAAAGAGAAACAAAAAGGAATGTAGGGAAATGAAGAGGGAAGAGAAACAGGTAATGTTTTTCAAGGATAAATAAATTCCACAACTTTTCTTAGATTTCAGACCATCATTAAAAACGAGTGGAGAAGAAGGGAACTATATTCATGACAAGGCTTGAAAAATAGACTCTTCTCCTAGGCCACTGTCACCCAGCAAAGACTGATGGACAATGCCAGGCAGCAGTGAAGGCTGTGCTATTTTGTATTTCAAGCATCTATGCTAACAAATCCTGCTGCCTAGAAAACAGGAATGTGTCACTGCCAGTTGCTTCAGAAGCAGGTGTCACCAACACTGGCATTTTCAAGGGTGTTGCTAGAGTCACTTAAAGGTTATCAATGTGTTGGGATTGGAGAATCATGGAACAGCCTTGGTGGCATTTTCCCACGAGGAATGCTGCAGGAAAAAAAAGAAAGTTGTTCAAGGCTATTAGAACAATCAAGAATCTACCCATGGGCCAATATTTTAAAAAATAAAAAAGTAGCATGACAGCAAATCTTGTTCAGGGTGGAAATTATGTACACAGACAACGTTGAAATAGGTTCAGTGAAATAGGAAGGTCCAGCGGTACACAGGGAACTGGAGCCCCTCCACAACTTGAGGGCGTAGAGTCTCTGTCTCCACAGTTCATTAACTTAGTAAACCATGGCTAATGTAGGTATAATACATTCCTGTAAGCATAACTAATACATTCTGTCTAAAATATGGTTCTGCAACAGAAAACTAACTGCAAAGTGATTCTAAATAGTGCTGTGCCAAGGGACCATTTTATTTAGAGCACATTGTCACTGTGGGTGATGAGACAGAAGGACTGAAACAAATCTTAGCTTGTACGGGGTCAGTGCTTTGTCTGCCTTACTACAAAAATGTCTAAAGCCAGGATAGGATAATCTGAGGCATAGTAGTTACCTCCGTGTCTCACCTATGAATAAACTATTCATTCCACCTTGCCCAGAAGGAACCGTTGTGAAGCTCCACTCTCCAAGGAACTTTGAAGGAGGTCAGGCTGCAGTTCAAATGGCATTATACTTAAGGGAACATTTTACAATAGATTTTCTGCTTAGGAAGATGGGTGAATGCTATTCAGAAAGAAAGAAAAAAGAAAGAGAGAGAGAAAGAAAGAGGGAGAGAGAAAAGAAAGAAAGAAAGAAAGAAAGAAAGGAAAGAAGGAAGGAAGGAAGGAAGGAAGGAAGGAAGGAAGGAAGGAAGGAAGGAAGGAAGGAAGGAAGAAAGAAAACAGGAAAGAGGGAAAGAAATAAGGAAGAAGCAAAGGCTTCAAACCCAGTTATAACAAGCCTGGGGTGCAACTCAAGGCAACTGTGCATTTCAAGGTGAAAAAAAGTCCTACCTTGCTGGAAAAAAATGTAAATATGTCAAGAACCAAGTAGGTCACAGAGAGCTACATGCAATTTTGATATAAACAGAAAGATGCTGTCTTGTTCTCCTACTTGATGATAAAGATATGAAAGAAAGTTTTTTTAAAAAAAAAAAGATTTTGTACCAATCGTAGGCAGTTTTTAGCATGCTGAGCTAATTATCTCAGTGAAGAACAGGGGGAACATCAGAAAGACAAATACAGACATGGGCACTCTTCTTTTGGGCTCACCTGAGTTGCACAGAAACGGGCTTTGCCCATGTGCTCACTCGCTGCTTCAGCAGTGAAGCACGTAACGTTTTCCTGCAGGAAAGTTCTCTGCCTTAGAGGTGCATGTTCTTTTTTCGATGAGCACAACAACTTGTTTCCATCCTAAAAGGTGCCTATTCCTTTTCCTCCTTGTTTTGTTCATGCTTTGAATTGCTCTGTTCTCATGTCGAGATTTCTACTATAGGGTATCTTTGGCTACTAACACAACACAAAGTAGTACTCATGCTCAAAAACAAAACAAAACAAAACAAAAACAACAATGACAAAACAGAGAGGTCAGGTTCTTGAATACTCCCCATTAGAGCCAAAGGTGCTTATAAACTGATGATGAGGAATTGGAGAGATGACATGGTCAGTAAAAGTGCCTATTGCGTAAGTGATTTAAACACACGGGGACCTGTGCTTAAATCACCAGCATCCATGTAAAAAGTTTGGTGTGGCAAAATGTACCCATAATACTAAATCATAGGTGTTAGACACAAATGAATCCCTGAAGATCATTGGCTGGAATGCCTAGCCAAATCCATGAGCTTAGGTTCTGTGAAAGACTTTGTCCCCGAAACAATAAATAAATGAATAGATGAAAAATAAATAGATAGATAGGTAGATAGATAGATAGATAGATAGATAGATAGATAGATAGATAGATAAGTGTGAAGAGTGACTGAAGAAAGCCATCTGATTCTGAGCCCTGGCTTCCATATGTCCCTGCATCAATGTGCACCACACACAGATGCCCACACCAACAAATATCTATAGGACATATACACCCTACATCACACAAACACACACAAATATACACACAAATTAATGAGTAAGCTGTGTAAGTGACAAGTGCCAGTGAAATAAAAACAAACAGAGTGAGCCTTGTCCTAGAGAGAACGCACTTCAGCACCCAGAACTCACCTGCTTAAAGTTCTTTATGCTCCTTCAGTTTAAGGGGAGTTTACTTTCCTAATGACTCCTGTTGGGGTGTCTCACTTTGCATGTACCACATGTCTCTGAATCTTTTTGTGTTTTGTTGTTGTTCTGTTGTTTTGGTCTTTGTTTTATTTATTGACTTTGGTTTTCCAAGACAGGGTTTCTCTGTGTAGCTTTGGTTGTCCTGGATTTGCTTTGTAGACCAGGCTGGCCTTGAACTCAGTGTGATCCGCCTGCCTCTGCTTTCCTGAGAATAAAGGTCTGCACCACTTGGCTTGCTGTTGCTGTTTTTCACAAGAATCTTATCATTTTTGCCAAAGGGATCATGAGTGCTTTGTAGGATGCTGCCTGAACTTAATTGTCTACAGTTTATTTTGCTCGTTTTCTTTCTCTCTCTCTCTCTCTTTTTTTCAGTTTCTCTCTGAATAGTTGGTCCCACATGTCAGTGGCCTAAGAGCCACTTAGGAGGCTGGTTACACATTTTAATGAGATGGTTCCCAGACCACATGCTGAGAATCAAGGTCTTTGAACATCTGTGTAGCACGTGGCCTTTACTCCAAATATCTGTGTTTTGACTGACAGTCCAGATGTATAAAAAGAAACTCTGAACTTCAGAAATGCCAAATTAGGCCACTATAAAAGAGAGACTAGTTCTAAAAATACCTTGACTATCTAGGGATTGTAAATATAGAAATTCTTTTACACTTGAAAATTTGAAACCCTTGTCCCGGTATCTAAAGCTCAATATTGTTTTATGGTTTTCCAATTGTTCTTGGATGTACAGATTCCTTGATCATACTTCATTTAGGTTAAAGACAAAGCTTTTCATGTTCTTCTAATAGGAGACCCTCTGCCACTGAATAGTCATGCACAGAGCACCTACTGTGTGCCAGATGCTCCATATCCAGGAACATCATAGTTCTTTTTAATAAAGAGACAGTTCTTCCAATTTTGAAGTAATTATGCTTTTGTAGTAGGTATGCTTTAAATGGATGGAAATGCTTTGGGAAAACCAAATGTGTGCGATGAGTAAAAACATCAGGGCTGTGAATTTCTGTTCCCATCACCCGCTGAATCAAATCCTACTTGCTCATCAGATAGAGAACAGTTCACCGTTGGTGCATGGGAGGGGAGGGGAAAAATTTTAAATAATTCACTATTTTCTTTAGACATTTTACCCAAATTCCCATAATCAGAGAATATCTCTACACAAGACTGAAAAATATCATGGATGACAGACTTTGTATCACCCCGTGCCTAATTGAAAATCTATTTCCAGATATAGTTGAGACCTGAGGCAAACTAAAAGAAAACAAAAGCAAGCACAAAGAACTTTTTCTTTTATTTCTTTTAGTGTTGTGTCAAACTTCTAAGCATTGCTGATGGGACAGGTTACCCTTTTTGGCCCTTGAATCAGCTATATTTCTCTAACCTGACTTGCTCTGCCCACAATTTCTTCCCCTGTGGTTCGGGGGAGGTCAACACTCAATTCCTAATGCTCAATTCCTTTGCTCATCTTTCCACTAATGGCTGGACTCTCAATTTCATGCCACAAGCCTAAATCAACAGTGCTAATGCCTCCCATAACCTCTGGCTCCTTCCCTGTGTGTTGATTTTTCTGGGGAATGTGTACATTTTGGTGTTGACAGTACAAGGTATATTCTAGGCTCTCTCTTGAACTTAGCAGGTTTTGACAGATTTATGTGAGGACAGATGGCCATTACAGGCTGAAGGCTGACAAGAGGCAGTTCAGAGCATTGTTAAGACACTTGCACAAACTCTCAGCACTGCGGCTCCGTGCAGAATGTAATTCAGACTATAGCTTTTTTATTGCTGCCTATTTTCTTTTGTCAAAAGAGCCTGCTGTGCGGAGCAACAAATGGCTGCTATTACCCAGAATGTAATGGGTGTCAGACAAATCACGTAACACAAACAATCAAGAGTATGTAGGTCATATTTCACCAGAGCACAACCTTAGCAATATTTATGATTACTGCATTGAAATGTGCTCTATAATAAACAAGTACCTCTACATCACTCACACTCCTGCACTTCTGCACAGCCGATCCGGGAGAAGTGGCACACACTCTACAAGTCATCGTTTTACACAGCCCTTTTACTTAAGGAAAAAAGTCAAAGACAAGTTTGGTTTAGTTTTGGTTTTGTTTTGCTTTTCATTATGGGCCATGAAGTGATTTTCATGGAGCAGCTCTCTTCGGAGTTTGTTTTTGAATGACTCTGATAAATGGGGAGGCGACTGCTTCCCCTTTTGCTTGAGCCCCAGTATCCACCTAAATTCTGGAGGACTTTTTTTCCCCTGATGTGTGCGTGTGCATGTGCGCGCATGCTCACGGGCAGTTTATAGCCTGTCTCAGAATGGCTTGCTCACTCTG